GAATGGCTACATTAAAATCAGACAAAATGGACTTCAAATAATATTATCAGAGATAGAGAGACATATAATGACCAAGAGCCAATTACATCCAATTCTAACTGTGTGTTCACCAAACAACAGAATTTCAAAAGATTAAAGCAACAATAGAACTAACTGGAAAAACAGATAAATCCACAATTAGGAGACTTCAAAACCCCCCTCTCAGTAATCAACAGAATGAACAAAACAAAACTTAATAAGAATATAGGGCTTCCCTGGTGGCGCAGTGGTTGAGAGTCCTCCTGCTGATGCAGGGGACACGGGTTCGTGCCCCGGTCCGGGAAGATCCCACATGCCACGGAGCGGCTGGGCCTGTGAGCCATGGCCGCTGAGCCTGCGCATCCGGAGCCTGTGCTCTGCAATGGGAGAGGCCCATGTACCGCAAAAAAAAAAAAAAAAAAAAAAGAATATAAAATACCTGAGGAAGGCTATCAACCACCTGGACGTAATTGACATTTATAGAACACACCACACACAGCAGCAGAATACACATTCTTCTCAAATGCACAAGGAAAAATTCACCAAAACAGACCATATTTTAAGCCATAAAACAAACATCCACAAATTTAAAAGAACTAAAATCATACACAACATTGTCTCATAATAAAATGGAAGTACGCTACAAATCCATAAGAAGATATATGGAAAATCCTCAGATATATTGATTTGCATGAAAACATACCAAAGTGTATGGGACACAGTTCATATGCTGCTTACAAAGAAATTTACAGCATAAAACTTTATATTACAAAATAAAGGTCTCAAATCGATGCCTAAGCTTCCAACTAAGAAATTAAATAAGAAGAGCAAATTATACTCAGAGAGCAGAAGAAAGAAAAATTTAAAGAGCAGAAACAAAATAAAATAGAAAGCAAACAATAGAGAAAATCAATGAAACAAATAGCTGTTCTTCGAAAAGATCAATAAAATTTATCACTTCTTTCCAGACTAGTCAAGAATAAAAAGAAGATATAAATGACCAATATTACGCATTAAAGAGGGGTTATCACAGCAGAGCCTCCAGATGTCAGAAGATAATAGTGGACTGTTATACTTGATGCCAATACATTAAGTAAGTTAGATAAAATGTGCAAATTCATTGAAAGACACAAACCACCAAAGCTCAGTAAGAGAAAGAAATCTGAATAGTTCTATATCTACTAAAGAAATAAAATTCTCAACATAAAACCTTTCAACAAAGAAACCTTCAGGTAGAGATGGATTCCTTGGTAAATTCTACCAAACATTTAACAAAGAAATCAGATTCAATCTACATAAAAAATTCCAGAAAGAAGAAAAGAGTAGTGCATACTTCCCAATTCATTCTGAGGCCACATTACCCAGATACCAAAAACAGACAAAAACATTAAAAGATAACTACTAACCCATATCCTTCATGACTATAGATGTAAAAATCCTCAGCAAAATATTATCAAATTACATCTAGCAATGTCAAATAGGGTAAGACATCATGACCAATCCCAATCCCGGGATTAATATTAGTTCAATATTCAAAAATGAATGACCATATCAACAGACTAAAGAAGAAAAATCATGTGATCATCTCGAGATACAGTAAAATCACCACCTCCAAGTAGTAACAGGCTCATCTCCCATGGTTTAAGTTGAGGCCCCATGGGAAGCATGTAATAAAGCACCCTCCCTCTCCTAGCCAGGTGTAGCCAGGTGAGTGTCAGCAGAGGCCCAGTGGGGAGACCGAACTTCCACCCCCCTGCCCAGTGGTAACGAGGCACCCTACACCACCAGGTTCTCAATGGAGTCTAAGTGGGGAACTTGGATTTTTACATGCACCATGTAGTACCCCAGACCTACACTATGAGACCTACACTTAGAGAAGTCCTCCTAAAACAAAAGATTTAAATAAAATCCAAAGTTTCATAACATAATCCAAAAATGTCCAAGACAACACAAAAAAATCACTCATCATACCAAGAATAAGGAATGTCACAACCTGAATGAGAAAGGACGATGAATGGATGCTTATACCAAAGTAAAATGGATGACGAAATAATCTCAAATAGATGTTGGAATAAGATTTTAAAGTAGCCATCATGAGGCTTCCCTGGTGGCACAGTGGTTAAGAATCTGCCTGCCAGTGCAGGGGACACGGGTTCGAGCCCTGGTCCAGGAAGATCCCACTTGCCACAGAGCAACTAAGCCCGTGCGCCACAACTACTGAGCCTGCGCTTTACAGCCTATGCTCTGCAACAAGAGAAGCCACCGCAGTGAGAAGCCTGTGCACCAAAACAAAGAGCAGCCCCCGCTTGCCGCAACTAGAGAAAGCCTGCGCACAGCATCAAAGACCCAACACAGCCAAAAATAAATAAATAAAATAAACAAATTTATTAAAAAAAATAAAGTAGCCATCATAAAAATGCTTCAATAATCAATTGCGAAGACTTGAAACAAATGAAAAATCAGAAAGCCTTAGCAAATAAACAGATGATATACAGAAGAATCAAATAGAAATTCTGAAAATGAAATTTACAAACCAAAATAACTCACTGGTTAGCTCAGCAACAGGATGGAGAAGACATAGGAGAGAAACAATGAACCTGAAGACAAACAACAGAAATTACCCAATCTGAACAACAAAGAGGAAATATATTAAAAAAAAATTTTTTTTAATAAATAAACAGGGCCTCCAGATCCGTGGGACCATAGCAAAAAATCCAACAGTCATGTAATCAGAGCACCAGAAGGAGAGGAGAAAGAAGGTCAGACTGAAAATGCATTCTAAGAATGTCTGAAATTTTCCCAAACTTGGAAAAAGACATAAATCTAAGATTCAAGAAGTTGAGCAAACCCTAAACAGAATAAACCCAAAGAAATTCCTGCCAAGACACATAATAATCAAACTCCATAAAACTAAAGTCAAAGAAAATTCTTAACAGCAATGAGAGAGAAACAATATTTTACCTATAAAGGAAAAACAATTAAAATAACAGCAGATTTCTCAGGAGAAACCATGGAGTCCAGAAAGACTGCAACAACATTTTTCAAGTGCTGAAAATAAAAAACCGTCAGCCCAGAATACCATATCCAGTGGAAATATTCTTCAGGAATAAAGGGGAATTCAAGATGCTCTCAGATAAAGGAAAACTAAGAGAATCTGTCGCCAACAGACCTACCTCAAAGAATAAGAAGTTCTTAAACAGAAAGGATATGATAAAAGAAGGAAATTGGCAACACCAGAAAGGAAGAAAAGAACAACAGAAAGAATAAAAGCATGGGTACATACAAAAGACTTTCATTCTCCTCTTGAGTTTTCTAAATGACGTTTGATGGTTGAAGCACAAATGATAACAGTGTCTCCCACAGTTATCAATGTGAAGGAAATAAAGGCAAATATAAATGAGAGAGGGTAAAGGGACTTAAGGGAGATATGGTTTCTATACTTCACTCACATGGTAAAATGTCACACCAGTAGACTATGATAAATTATGTATAATACAATATCTACAACAACCACCAAAAACTCTACACAAAGAGATACACTCAAAACACTATGGAGGGGCTCCCCTGGTGGCGCAGTGGTTGGGAGTCCGCCTGCCGATGCAGGGGACACGGGTTCGTGCCTCGGTCCGGGAGGGTCCTGTGTGCCGCGGAGCAGCTGGGCCCGTGAGCCATGGCCGCTGAGCCTGCGCGTCCGGAGCCTGTGCTCAGCAATGGGAGAGGCCACAACAGTGAGAGGCC